CCACCACACATGCTTTGTAATTATTAGTCGCTTTTTCTCGTCCCTGCTGCATCTGTTTACGTGTGTTTTTAATAAAACCTTGTGAATACCCGCGCCTCCAAAAGGGATCCGATAACAGTCTGAACTTCCGATGCTCGTAAATCTGAATTTGAAGGGAAATGTTCTGATTGGCTATAATAATAATAATATTATTATTATAAATATATTATTAACTGCAGTTATGCTTCACCACAGTTACCACACTGTAGGGACTAGTACGGCCTATAATTTCGGACAGTTATTTCAGAAGTGAAGAGTGCGCGTGCGCAGTTCTGATGGGCGCTCAAGATATGGAAGAGCACCTACGCCCATAGTCTTGACTGCATGGCCACAAAATGTTGTCCAAGAGTACAGCGTGGTAACTGTGGCTTAGCGTCGAAAGGGGAAGTTTACATAAGTTCGGCATCGATAGTCTTGTCTTTAAAGCGCTAGAGGTTTATCATTGGTGCTCTTGAATTACCTTCATCTTCCTTCTTTGGCGTTTAAATATCGTCACTTAATTACTTTAATCTTCATTTTATGTAAATGTGTGTAATATAGACTGTAATTATGTAAATCATTATATTTATGATGGTTATTCCTATTAATGAACATCACGCCGAGTGAATATTTTTGTAGTTCTATCATTGCTTGAAAATTTAAAATGCTTTTAACGTCTTTATCCTCTTTGATGACCATTTATGAAGCGTCAGTTGTGAGTGTAGCGCTTGTCCTGTCTACGTCTTTCAATTGTCCTTGTCCTTGGAGCTTCAGTGCTTAATATGGTGATTGATATCCATCATATTTAAAATGGAATTCATTGAAATAAGGTACATACACAGGGGGCATTATATGCCCTTTGGAATACCTCCTCATTGTAAAGTCGTAGGCAACAGACATCCGTTTCTATGGAGGGATATCTTTCTCAGATGTTGGAGATGCTATACTGAACGGTATGGAAATTACATGGCAGAGGTACTGAATCCGCAAAGGTTGGAGTGAGAAATTTCTGAGTATTAAACATCCTCTTATCTTCTCAGATAAAATAGCTTGGTCAGCCACGTGGAGTGGAAAGGCGGCTATATTTGCAGCATAACTTAGAGATAGATATTGACGTCGCAGATCGAGAGAAAGATGGTGGGCGTCCACATATAGGCTATTTACACGAGAAGCTATAAATACACCAGTTCACGTTCTCAAGGCTGCAGAATAAACAACATCGAAAAATCGAAGCGCCGATGGCCTTGCGGAGCCGTAGACTTTTCGCTCATGCTTGAGTTCCTAGCGGAGCAGTGATTCGTATATTTTCAAAATAGGTTCACGTTCTCCTACGCATCATGTCCCAGCCAGCATTTCAAGGATGTTGCACCCTCTGATGCAGCTCGCTTTAAGCTCCCGAAGATGTGGAGCAAGGGCCAGCTTCTGATCAAACACGACCCCCAGGAGTTTGCGTTCTGGTTTTGTTTGGAGCTTTGTGCTTCAAAGCTAGAGTTCTGTAAATAGGAACATCCCTCTCTTTTTAGTAAAATGACCAACGACTCTATTTTCTCCAGAAAACTTGAAATCATTGCTCGTACCCCCGAATAAGCCCATTCAGGGCTCTTTGGATAGTTCTTATACCCGTCTGTAAGCATTGAGACAACCTGAATGGCATTTGGAAGTCGTCAACATAAAGACAGAAAAATGCCTGCAGGGAGGCATTTGGAAATAGAAATAATTTTTATGCAGAACAGGGGTCAAGCTAAGCAGACTTCCGTGGAGTAACTCAATTTCCTGGGCGTATACTTGGGAAAGTTTAGTTCCTATATTCTCCCAAAGAAGCCTGCTTTAAAAAACCTGAATAGAAGAGAACATCCCACCACCTATTCCAAGGTCTACAATATCTCTAAAAATGCAGTGTTTTCAGGTTGTGTCATACGCCTTTTGCGCGTCCAAAAATAATGAGATGTATAGTGTCAAGAAAAAGCTAATCTTATCTCCCTCTCCAGTCGAACTAGATCATGCTGCGTTGAGTGGAAGCGCTGAAAGCCACTCTGGCTGTTATATACAAAGTGTCGTGACTCAAAAAGAGATACAAGTAGCTAATTTGATATTAATAAATAATAATAAAAATATTCTTTATTTCCCATTATATGAAATGGCGGGGATGAGACAAAAGCCGTGCTGGGGGCTAGCTGGATAAAAATATTGTTTTTCAATGCTGTACGGAGTTCAATAACATGAGCTATGCACCAGGAACTCAAAAGAGACTTTCTCAGTCCAGATCCGATCGTACAGAATACGCAAAACAAACAGAGTTTGTTTTTCTGAAAGGTGGCGAATCGTTTCACAGTGCGCTTTGTCAAGTCCCGGTTCCGTGTTTTTCACTTTGTTCACTGTATATGCCAGCTCATAAAGTGAGAATATCTTATTATTGTAGCAGCATCATCCAGTTTGTATTTTAGCCGTTCTTTCTCGAGCTTGGCTATATCTTCCCTAAGAAAGCTTGTAGGGGAATGCTTACTCAATCAGAAAGCAAAGTGCTGAACAAGTTCATCAGCTGGATTGTTGATGTCAGCAATTTCTCTGTCATTGACGACGAGAATCCTCATAACATTCATTGATGACTGCCTCTTAACTTTCAGAACTTTCTCCCAGACAATTTTGACTTGGTCTTAGGGGTTCTAGAGCAAGTGTAGCCCCATCTTAGGCTGTTCTTTCACTTCGCCGATACACCTGACCAGTTTGGGCTTCTGGCCGGTTTAAAAGAGAAGAGGTTGGTAGTTCTTGGGTATGGAAGAAACAGTCCCCACCAATTATTTTTATTATTGTTTGCCTCCTGACATTCTGGTGACCCCTAACGGGCTGAGACGATAGGGATTGAGTTTTCAGCTGCACAAATACCACTTTTCCTGCAGCATGGCAGCTTAGTTTCTGTAAGATATTAATTCGTACTATATTCTTCTTGTATTGCCGGGATGGGTAGCAGCGTGAGTCGGCAGGGTGTTTGCCCTCGCTGTTTACACTATGAAAAGAGTTAGAGCATTTTTTTCGCATCATGATCCTTGCTGGAGCACTTTGCACAACATTGTGGTCGACGATATGGTGCCGTTTGGTGACCGTACCGATCACACTTGAAACACTTAAGTGGGTTCGCGATGTGTGGGTGAACCTCACATCTCATGTCGCCAACGTGAATGCATGAAGGTAGGTTAGGTGTTTTGAATGTGAGTATTATGTGCTTGGTTGGAATCTCTTTGTCATTTTTCTTGATTTTTATTCGCTAAACGTTCTCATCCGCATTGTAACATTCTCATCCGCGAGTCCCTCGAGAAATTCATTCTCTGGGACATTTAGCAAGTCGTCCCAAGAGATCACCTTTCTTTGAGTTGAGAGTGCTATGTGCAGTGAGAGGGGCCGTAATCTTTCCAAAAACGTTTGCTTTGAGCAGCGCCTTGCTTGCTGTCTCAGGTTACACTTCCAAAAGAGGATCGCTTGAAGCAACTTTCTGGATGTTTGTAACAGCAGGAACCTTTTTCTTTCCTTCTCCTATAGGGAATGGCGGGGTGTTACTTTGCGGGTCATAAGGGCCATCGCTTGATATTACTTATAGTTTTGTGAATTTTTTTCTTGTGTTCAGTTATTTTGCATTCTGCAAGCCGAATATGTTTCCGACCTCCAACTGTGAGGGTATGGCGTGCGGTTCCCATATGATAAGAGTTCATTTCACCACTAATTAACCCGGCTCACCCACCAGGAAGTTCAGCAAGGCGGCATCTCGAGTGACCCTAGTCAGACTAAGCGATTCCTCGAGGAAGCCAAGCCTAAGTGAGAGGTATAACCAAGCAGCACTCGGTAGTCAGATCAGAGACACATGGTGATATCCCTGCACGAGGTTAGCCATAGCCGCCCAGTGGTCAAGACTATTCAGGCTATCCTGCTGGGAGAGGGAAAAAGCTGGACACAGATACATCCCCTTGACTCAGGGTAAACTCTGGGTTAATGCGGTGCTAATTTTTTTTATTGGTATAAGCGTATAATTCCGTCGTATCCTTTCGGGACACCTGGGAAAATCGAAGAACTTGCTGAGCGATACAGTTAGCGCAAACACGACATCAACCCCTTTGAGTATGTTGCTAGAACAAGGTAATGACGATCAGGTTGAAGCCGTGAATAGAGGTTATGCTAACTGCTTTCCGCTGATCGAACATTCCATGGTCCACCAATCAAAACAAGTGGCAATTTTTGGTTGAAGAGTAGAAACGCGAGTGACATTGTCAAACTGGGGAATGTCAATAAACCTAGTGTAGAGCTTTTTGAAATGCTCTACGACGGAAACTTGAAGCATGTCTGTGGTAACAGAATCTACTTGCTTCTACTATCCAAGGACCACATAACCTTCGTCGCGCGCGGCAACGTCTGTGGTAGCTTCACGAAGGCACGTCCTTCGCTGGGAGTGGTTGCGTGATCATCGCAGAATCCCTTCTTGTTATACATTTGGTTTTCTAAATGTTTTATAATTTGAGCGTCACCATTTGCTCCAAGCATTGGAGACAAGGTCCTCAGATATTATCTTATTTTACAGGCATTATCTTACGTTTCAGGCTATGAGAACTACTCACGTGTCAAGGATAATCAAGGACTTTCGTGATTGGAAAATATCAGAGCAGAAGGTGAACGACATGTTTGTAAAGCACCAGTGCCTGTAAAACGCAGACGTCGACACCAGCCCAATATTTCGCTGCGGTAAGACGGACACTTGTCCGCTGGCACTCACAGACGCTGCTTCGCGTTAGCGCCAAATAAAGCGTCGTGAAAAAGGCTTTAACTAGTTCCTGTCCTCTCATTGCTGATAGCTGGTGCGTTTATGGTCGCACGAAACCTCGAGCAAACTGAGCAAAGTTACCGTATTTGTCAAGGTAAAATATATCATCCGTTGTTATACGTTACAGCAACAACCCAGGCAATGCACGTGGTGAGTAACACAAAAAATGCAGACTTACCTGCCAGGCCAGAGCGCACTTTGTAATCACATCCAGTGACAGGCCCTGGGCTACCTTGAACATGTCCACCACTTTTCCTTTTTTGGCGTAGTCATCAAGCACGTCTACGAACTCATCCGTGCAAGCGTTCATAATCTGCATCATCTGCTTCATTTTCACTGCGCTGAAGGTGGGGTTTAGCACAGTGCGCACTTTCTTCCAGGTGTCAGCTGCAAGACAATTCGGGTAGTTATATTTAGGGTGTCGAACCAGTCAATATTTCGGTTCGGTTCAAGTTAGAAATAAACAGCTTTGAATTTTGCTCCCAATTAGTTCCGGTTCAGTCAACCGCGCAAAATATTGGTTCAGCTACCCCTCCTACCAGGCGCGAACCCGTTTAAACCAGTTTATAACTCAAGTTTCGATTACTGTCATCCGCGAAATTTCTTCGCTACCACGCGTTATATGCAGTAGCCGGAAAGAAAAATGAGGACTAATTTCTTTATAGCACCAAATTTACATGACAAAATAAAGAAGTTCCGCACAATCTTGTGCTCATCAGAAGCGAACTTCTTTCGGTCACTGTATATGCCATGGCCATTTACTGTAATGCCAGTGACATTCTTCTAAAGCACTCTAAAAATGTCTTACTTTAATTTCGCGGTCAAAGCACGTGATAATATGTTGAATATTTTGTGGTATACAAACACAAATACCACGAAAATAAAACATACATTTAGTTTCCATTGGTCAAGAAGTCTGACGCGTCATCAATGAGACTTATAAAAAAAGTATTAGCATAACAAAAACTTATTAGCATAACCATACATAAGCAATGTTTGCGTCACTAGATTTAATTAAAATTTACCTTCAATTATTTTAACGTCTCAAAAAAATATAATGGAATATTATTGTGTGTGGAAAAAAAAACAGAACATGTCACCGTTACCGGAGAAATATTCAAATAGGCAATTAAGGGTATAAAGGACATGGTTTATCGGTTAAACCACAATCGCCATACGACGAGCTGCTAATGCCTTTTCGCTTCGATCACAAAAATACAACCTCCGATCAAAAGAAAAAAAAATGGGAGATTCTAGAAATATAAGCCAAATTAATTGTCTTCGCGTACTTGAGGAGCGAAATTTTAAGTTACTGATGAGGAAGATCGCTTAAAACGCAAATTAAAAAGAAAAATATACAAGGAAAATATTGTAGCAGTTGGTGGTGACCGATTATCTGACTTGATACCACCGTCCCCCAAGGTCAGTGATTACACTGATTCTGAATGGACTTACAAGGTGCTTGAGTCTAGGTTAGATTACGCACCCGAAAAACATGTAAGAAGGCAAGGTTTCGACAAAAAAAAACGTTGCGGCGTAAAAATAATTTTTCAGATGGTATATTTTTATCCAATTTTAATATTTTGAAACCGGCAGATGTTTATTGGTGTTTTTCAAATAATCTCGGAACGTCTACGTATAGTTATGTTTGGTTTCAGTGAGCTTGGAGTGGTACTGAATGTTTTGCTCGCGATGCAAACTCATCTGTTCCACTGATAAATCCCTATATCAAAGGCATTTTCAAATTTATTCATCAGTGTAGTGTGTGATGAGTACGCTCTAATGGTAACTTTATTATTGGTTCTGTTTGCTGAGATTCGTGGGACTGATATAAAACGTAATGCTATGTGACAACCGGCAGTGGCATAAATATTTCAGATTGTATTATTGAAAGTCTGATCTGAATAATGTAAGTCGGTTTTGAATATTGTCACTAACAACCAGTGACAAAGACGAAAAAACTAGAAAACTAAAGCTTTAACGTGGTGAACTTGTGACAACAAAAACAAGAGGAACCTCACAGGCGCCGATGTTGGCATAGCGGCACCGGCGATAGACTAATTCGCTGCAGCCACGCAGGGCTAATGGTACCGGCATTATCTTAATTATGCGAGAGAACGCTTTAGAAGATCAGCTAGAGATAAAATCATTACCTATTTGCAGGATTGCAAGTGCGCAACCTACTTGACAAGTCACGCTTTTTTATTGCAGGTCTTTGACGCGTAAGGTCAAACACAAGTATACAAAGACTTGGCGAGGCACGCTGAGAGTGGATGGAAGATAAAAAATGCCAGCTATCATTTGGCTATAGCGTTTTGGATTTATTAATGCCCATCGTCAACAGCGCTGTAAGCTTTTTCAAGAACAGTCGGTCATGGCACTTATGGACGAAAGCTCAAAAACAAGGGCCGTTCAATGCCACGTTAAACAAATAGCTGCATGTAATGTAATGTTGTAATCGCATTGACGGCGCCTTTTCGGTCTCAATAAGCATCCTGTAAACTTTCGTTACCAGATATTTTATGCAATTGTATGAACTTCCCCGCAATTTATGTAAGCTTGCTCGTTCTAAAAAATAAACAATATCGGTAGGGTTAAACATGCCGATGTTAAATGACTGTATGTGTGGAAAAGCTAGAGCTGGAAAAAGCTAAAATTGTGTGCTAGGGCAGTCGGCGCATAGATAATATTTTGTTTCACCATATTAATCTATCATTCCGCCTAAAACATTGGAGTGAAGTATCTAGAAACTTTTACTTCTAAAAAAACTTTAAGGAATATATTGAATTGTGATTTACATTCTTTAATTAATGAATTTGACATGTCTAGGAATCCCCTGATGTAGTAAACATAACCCATCTACGCATCAGACCTACTTTATGTAAGTGTGTGTTAAATCAAAGCCAACGAGCACTCTAATAAGGAGCCAATAATTCATAAATTAATAGGCATACCAATGAAGACGACCAATCTTCCCTATGGAAAAACCGTCTATAGGGCCCACCAGGATTTCTCAAATACTTTCACATACCCCTCAAACATTTAAAGGGTTTGAGATGTTTATCGTAGCGTTCTAGGGGGCCTGAGTACCTTTCAAGAATTTCTAAATGGTGTAAGTGAACCGTCATTGTTTTTAGAGGCCTAAGGCGTCTATCCCTTTTTTTGCGTGAAAGAACGGCACTTATAAAGACTGTTGTTGTAACTCAGGAGGACGTATAGTTATAAGATAATCGTTTGCTCTCCAGTCTGATCCAGACGTCTGTGTAGACTAACCTATATGCTGATGGGAAAATGCCTTTGTGTAATGGCGTGCAAATGCCAACAGCATCCAAATGATTTTTACATCATGACCCACGGTCTTAAATCTCTGATGGATGCTCGAGATCTTGTTATGCAGTATTCACTGTTGCTTTTTTTTTAGTCTTCGAGTTTGCCATAAATATGGGTGGTTTCATCTCAAATCGGGCAGGCTAATAGTTGCTTCTTTTTTTTTTTGACGAAGAAATATGCTTTGGGGGAATTTCTCAAATGAAAGAAAGTACAACCGCATATCTTTTATTTATTTTTGTTTGTTCTAGTATTTTTGCCTGCCGTCGCAGGTCGCATGTTTGAGAACCTCTGCTGCCTCTACTGTTTTTCCTCTTCCATCTTAACTTTTTTTTTTCCGCATTTAATAGACACTATAAAGATACCCTGGTGTATTAAAAATTTTTTAGCAATCTTATTTTTTGCTAAAAAATTGTCAAAGTCTTCGTTCGGGTTGAGTTTTGGTCAAACTTGACGGGTTTTTAGTTTGTCTGTACTTAAGGCAAATTTTATTTCTTCAGCTCTCTAGAAAGCCCAAAACAAGCCCATTATAAATATAATAATGTCATTGTGATCTGTTCACTAGACACTCCGTCACCTTTACGGAAACGTTGTGAGAAATAAAAAATGTTGAAAGTTTAAAAGCAATTCTTTTAAAAACCTAATTTTTTTAAATATTTTTACATATTTTTTATATAATAGTCGACTAGAAGAAGAGCCGATAAAAAAATTCAATATATCGGTTGTATGTCCTCTATTCGAGCAGCAATCGTGTGAAATCTGTGCTCATATGACTAAAATAAAGCAACCTTACTGGCATTGTTCGCCTCTACGATTGCGAAAATATGTTTTATTTTGGTTTACGTTTTCAAAAAGGAACGTAAAGTAGGCGAACTTGTGATATTCCTTGTATTTTAAAACTTGAAATAAGAGAGAAACCACATAAGCACGCTACAAAACAACGAGTAACAAGTACATACATACCAAAAGGCCTCGCAACATGTCAAAAAGTGTTCTTATATAAAACAGTTCGAAGCAAACAAGGGTGGCTACTCATCATACAACCTATTACGATAGAACATAGGCGTAGAGTTCGGGGGGGGGGGGGGGGGGGGGCATCGGGGCTCGTGCGCCCCCCCCCCCCCCCCCCCCCCCCCCCGGGCCCGGAATATAATGATTCCTACTCAGGCGCTGTTAACGTGCCATGTAACGAGCTTCTAGTAGTGGCATGTAAAGAAAATAACTCCCACGTTGCCATTTCGACAAAATACATGGGAAATGGAATCCCAGCGTGCTTTCGTTAGCTAACGCGCAGCACCCCCCCCCCCCCCTCCCCCCGGAGAACTTCTCAGCCTGCCCCCCCCCCCTCCCCCCCCCCCCCCCCCCCCCCGGGAAAATGGAAACCGACCTCACCGTTGAGGAAGGGCAGACTGCTCGCAAATGGCTCCACCTTCAGAGGAATTGACGGTCGGTCGTGGAACACGTTGGACTCCTTGATGAAGCACTGCTTGATTATTTCCACATCACTAAGAGCGATGAAGGGCACTTCTGACTGGTAGAAGCCGAACACTTTCCCATACTGTTCTATCCAATTCTCCATCACCTAAGAAACGTGAAAAGTGTTTGTAAAGAATTATTAAGGCAAATAAGGTTTCTTAAAGGTTATTTGGGTATAACTCCACCTTAAGCCAACACCCGGTTTATAAGTTGATCTGCGTACTTTATATGGAACTGAACTTGATCAAATATTACAAAAATGTGGTGGTGCGAGAACGTACTCAACGTAATTAGGACAACTGTCCGACTGACGACTAATTTATTTTTAAAAAAGTCTATGATGACATTTTTAGATTAATAATTTGTTTTCTTCTGTTTTTACATGGTGACGGTCTGATAATATGGCGTTAAAATGTATAATACACAGCAGAAAGTGGAGTTAAGTAGTTTGCCCCATTATTCATTCTGTCAAAACATTTTTCTGATTTGATTTAACAGCGCCAATCTTCGTCAAAGGCTCGAAACGAACGTAGCGTCCCTCTTTCATCTATTCACTGAAGACTCGGTTCCCAGCGGTGATTTAAAATAATTTAGTTGGTGTTTTCTAAAGAAAATTGTAAAAGCCAACACTGAGCACAACTTACGCGTTTTTGTTTTTTTTCTTTTTGAGACCGTGATTTACGTGACGCCATGACGTTGCATGACTTGAGGTCACGTGACATGCCACGGACACCACGGACGAGGATGAAATTTCGCTTGGCTTTCATTACAGTGGAATTTTGCATTCAAAGGCGTAGCCAAAAGGGTGAGTTGGCTCAGATAAAGGTCAGAGCTCAGTATTAACACTGGACGTCCCGTACTTTATAATTTCTGCTTTCATTTGGCTTGCATCGTTGCCTTGCGCTATACAGCAATTATTTGATATGCTACCTGAACCACAGATTGAAAGGCAGACAGGGTCTTAAGCCTGATGCAGGCAATGAGGAAGAGGGGCTTATAGCGATAAACTGGCAGCTGACAGTGACCCTTAATTAACCACCGCCATGTTGCACATTTTTGACCACTAGAGACGTGACCTTATAGTTCTAGATTTTAACAAAGCGCCTCGCACAAATGATTGATTATTGATCTTTAATAACAGTATTGACGAGACGAGTTATGTTTCGTTTGTTTTAGGTCCAAAAATGTGCTTTTACGACAAACACTCGGGCAGCTTCGCAATGGCTCCGCTAGCTGCCGTCAGCCGCGGTGCTGTATTTTGGGTTTTTATTGAAGCTAGACATTGATCTCTGGGGCTAACAGTATCGAAAAGTAGTTTATCATGCTTTTTAAAGCGATCGCAGTACAAATCTCGGTCAGTTTTGCGCAAAAGCCTCAGGATTTGGTACGGTCACGTGTCTAGCTGTCAAAATTGTACAACATCGCGGCAACCAAGCAGGGATCACTTTTGGCTGATGAACGGGATACCATTTCATCGCTCTAAGCCCCTCTACCTCGTTGGATGCATGTTAAAATTAAGGCATTTGTTTTCTCTATATATTTTAGTGCCTTTTATCTCATAACACGAATTTGTTACTTCGAATTTGATCTAACATGAGCCTGGAGAAGTTTCTGTTCATCGTGGCAACCTGCCGCGTCTCACAATCTTGAAAAGAAACACACAAAACTTTTCTTTGCCATTTTACTTTCTTTGCCGCCGTACATTCCCACCGTACTTTCAGGCTGAATAGTGGGAAAGGGTCTACATTACGTACGTTAATGGCGTCTTTCTTAAGCTCCTTCCTATTTCCCCAGAGAAGGCCCGGTTCTGGTCCGGGGATGCCGTGATTTTTGAAGAAGCTGTGTTTTCGACGTCTGTCACGGATCCACCAGGCGACGCAGGTCACCAGTGCCACCACTGCAGCCACCAGAGCGTTCCACATCAAGGTGCCCATGACGCCGAGCTAAATTCACTGCACAAAAAAAAAATGTAGATTTTTTTTGAAGGATTATTTCTCGGCCATTCTTAAAATAAAGAGCTGCCTATTTCCGAAGTTGGTGAGCTTTCAATTAGTGACATGCGGGAACTACAGGTAACTACAGAAATTGACGGTCGAACGGCCACAATCCCGCTTCCGCCTTCTTGCCTCGTGGCTTGGAAAGCTACGCTCCGCAGTAACGACAGATCACTCATATTGCTGCTTAAAAGCATAATTGCCAGTTGTCTGGAGCTTTCTTATTATGCAATTGCGGAACATGTTTTTCGGCCACCCAGAAATGTAAAAAAACAATCAGCGACAAAGGACTACGATGTCATCTGAGCTTCTGATCCCGTATCTAGACCTCAGGAAGTCGAATTTTCGAATAACAAGGACCGCCAATTGTGCCCATTCTGCACTAAGCACCAAAATGGCGGTAGCCAAACGATAATCCAAACTGGAGTGCCGATATTTTAAGTACAGCTTATTTTGTGGGCACATAGAGCGACTGTCGTGATCCGAATGTAAACACGAGACGCGTTCCCTTTAAGGTATCCTTAAAGGAGCAATGCAACAATTTTTGTACTTTGCGCAAATACCGCTTAAAACGGATCCCCAACGTTAATGACCTATGAAACACGCGTTCGTTTTTCACTCCACGCAATAGAAGTTCCAGAAAAAAATTAAAGAAAAACGAGCAGCGTTCACCCCCTCAACTCGCAGCCAGAACAAGCGGCCACGTGATCTGGAGCCGATTATATGCCGCCAGTGTTGATCATAGCCACGCGCTGGGGTTGGCAAAGAGCAGGACACGCGCTGAGTTCCAGACATTGTTATGGCTCGGCTGTTGTCGTCGTTGCAGCGATTGGACACGGGCCACTACCCGAATGCTTCTTGAGCTAGCAATTATCACGAGCCCAAGTCGAGTGCCCACGCAATGCTCGGGTCCAATCTATGAACCGCATTCAAATATCGTCACTTGGGTGTACTGCGATCCCCACGTTACGTCATCAAATTTCGCAAAGGAGAGATTGAATGAAAATGATCGCTTTTGTCCTTGAAATTACACCGCAACAAAGGAGTTTCTTGGCCAGCGGCGTTGCGTGTGAGTATCCTTGAGTCCCAGGTGTGCCAGTAAGCTCGTGTCAAGTGAAAAACATTCCAATTGAATATGGTTGCACCGCTCCTTTAAGCTTTAAGGGATCTCAATTCCCGTGCAGTGCAAGCTCCCTCGCAAAGACCTTCGCGCTCTTGTACAGGGTTAAAACAAATTTTTACTCGCTAAAATGTCTTCGAAATGTAAAAAGAAAAAAAGAATTGCCGGATTTTGTAGCAACTTTTTACGAAAATGTCTAACGCGTCACATTGTTGTGCTAATATTTCAAGTCGGAACTCAGAGTACTAAAAAATAAAAAAATAAAAACAGTCTTTTTTTTTTGAGTTGGCAGCCAGAGTTGCGCGTCTGTTTTCCACGTGCCGCCGCGCCGCTATCGCCGAGATGGAATCACATGAAGAGCAAAATCCAAGTACCGCGCAGGAAAACCACCGGTACGGCCGCTTCGCCTTAAGAGCGCGGCGCCGCTATTCGCCTACTTAAGTCACGTGATGTGCACAATCCCGTTCCGTGCAGGAGCGTCGGCGCAAGAGGGATAAGCGCGCAACTCTGGCTACAGTAGGGAGCCTATTGACTGTTTTACTGAAAGAGGGCGAGAGAGAAAAGGGGAAAGCGCTACCGACGCTTTCCCCCTTTCTGGTTGTGTAGAAAGAGTGAAAGTCCCGGATGAGGAGGCTTGGCCGGTGTTGGGTGTCTGCTGTGCCCAACTTCGTTCGGGCTTCCTTTTCTGTTCTAAACTCGCAAACTTAATTAGAGCCGCAGGCTTCGATGGCAACAGTCCCCCGGTCATCGGGACACCATCGCTGAGTCATAGGGTGCACGAATAAAAACAGAAAGCGTCGAATACTGACCGAGGACACACGTAGCTTGCAAGGAATCAGGCAAGGCAAGTGTGAATTGCGTCCGTAAATTGGAAAAGGCGTTTCCTGAACGCCATCCTCTCGACTGCGCTGGAACATTTTGTGAATGGAGCGCGCACCGACCGAACGCTGTACCGCCGATGAACAAGGGGTACGCTCGCAAAGTGCGTGCGAGTTTTCTTATCATAACAGCCGTTTCAGCTTGTAAAATTTCGTAACTGAATTTAGCTTAATATTGATAATTTGCAGTGGTGACTGACTCGATTTTATCATCTACAACGCTTAGTTGAAGGCTCATTTCCGCCGCCGGGTGAGGCTGGAAATTGTTGAAAAAATAGTTCTATCGGTTTTCTGAATCGCGATCTCCTGCGCGATACCAGAGTGCCGGCAAAAGCGCTTCTTGGAGTGCCGCTGGTGGGTTGTTTCCGTTAATTGGGCGCTTTAAAGGCCTGGATAGTCGCTGCAGGGTACGTCTCGTGTGTTGCGATCTGCGTTTTCGAGCCCAGTGTGCACGTTTCTTTTTTCGAGTCATGGCATCCGCCAGTGCGGCGACGGGGGAACAGCGGCGGCGAACGTGTCAGTGATAGAAATTGGAGTTTAGTACTCAAAATATTGCAACAAAGAGTAAAATAATGCGTGGCTGCTTTGAGGCTTTCTGCGGTTCGATATAAGTACATCTGGAGCGTGTTCGTCGTTGATCCACAAGGAAATATAAGAACACGGACACGAAGATAAAAGCAACGCAGCAAAACGATCTGTAGCAGTTCCGGGTGTTTACAAAAGTTAATTGAGATTCCCGTTTCGTGTATCGCTTGTTGATTACTACTAAAAACGACTATGTTGAAGTACGCCCCCCCCCCCCCCCCCCCCCCCATTGCAAGCAAAAATTTACAAATGGTTCATCATTTCCAGTCACGCGGAAAGCGATGAAGCTTAAAAACATTGCAGCCGCACTCGCCTTGCCGGATTCCATGCAAGCTACATAGGTCCTCGGACAGTATTCGACGCTTTCTGTTGTTATTCGTCCACCCTATCAACCAGCAATGGTGTCCCGATGGCCGGGGGATTGTCGCCATCGAAGACCATGGCCCTAATTAAGTTTGGAAGTTCGAAACGTAGAAGATAGCGCGAACGAAGTTGGGGCACTGCAGACACCCAACACCGGCCAAGCCCTCTCATCCGCGACTTTCACTCTTTCTACACAACCAGAAAGGGGGAAAGCGCCAGTAGCCCTTTCCCCTTCTCTCTCGCTCTCAAAATGGCGCTGCCCACGATAAAACGGTCTATAGACCAACACGCGACCCTGACGTCACGCAGCTGCGGTGGCGCTGTCGATGGCACTGCGCATGCGCAGACACTTCACGCGAGTTCGGTTTCTGCGCACGCGCAGTGCCCACACCTGGTGTGGGCAAACGCGGGATTGTTTGTAAACAGCGTGTCGCAAGTCCGGCGTCAGGGCGCTGCCATCTTGCTCGCTGGGGTGCGCTTGGAGACGGCCATAATCCGATTACGAAGCCTTGCTAAGGCGTCCTAATCGGATTATGGCCGCGCCCAAGCGCACCCCACTGGGCAAGATGGCGGCGCCCCGAGACCGGACTTGCAAAAGTGTATAGACCATTCCATTTAGCGCTCTCTGGGCGGCACCATTTTGTTCCACCGCAGCGCCCTCTCCACACATCCGGGAAGTTCAGCGGGTTCGGCGGGGTAAAACGAGAGAGAGGGCACGCGCCCGACTCCGCTAGCAGACGACAAACCGGGAGGTTGCCGTTCTCCATCTTTGGGCTGTATCGGCGGGCTCTACCGAACTTCGAACTCTCGCTCGTAGCTTCCGTTGTGAAGTGGTTCGCGTTCTTAGAATAGTTGTGGCTACTCCAAAATTATCCTATAGCTCTCTGTTGTTCTATTTTGCTAAATGATCAACTGGCATATATTTTTTCTGTTTCTTAAATAGCAGTTCAGAGAGCCGGCAGTACTACCCTCAACTACTGCTTGTATTGCGGCAGGAGAGCACGTTTTATTTATTATTTAAGACTTCCACTCATGGTCGCTAAAGGCCCACACCAGTACGAACTTTTGTATAGTAAAAAAGGTACAGCAACCGGATTTACTTTTCGCCAAAGAGACCGGCCAATCTGACGCAGGTTTCCCTGTTTTTTTTTTTTTTTTTTATTTGCACGCAGGTAACAGCGCAATTGAACCCTGTGGGTCTTTTTATCTCGCATAATATTACACGACAACTGGCATACCAAAATCTGCGCATCTGCGCTTGAAAGTTCCAAAATGACGTGATTTTAAACAGAGTTTGCACGCCAGCCGGACGCTAGCTACAACCCACTCGGCGGAGCGGACGAGATGCGGGGTGAGAGGGGGAGTGCATTTTTTTCTCTTTTACCCTCTCTGCTCTGACCCTAATGGAACGGTCTATTAGCCCCGAGAAGTTCGCGTGGCGCCCCCTTATGGCGAAGCGGGGTGACGTCACGGCGAGGAGAGAACTTTTCCCCGACTCGCCCCGCTCGCCCTGTGGAGGCTGTGACGACGCTAGCTGTCGGCGCGCTCGTTTCTATTTAATTTTTTTTGCGTGTTTTTCGTAGGAAGTGTGAATTTTTATATGTGCCTTTATTGAGGTATGGCTTGTAGCTACAGGCAAAACTTCAACCAACATTTTAAGCATGGTTGACAGGGCAGGCAACCCATGAATCACAGCTGGTATATGAAAATAAAGAAATATGGCACTATAGATTTACATCTCGCACAATAAATGCTGCTGGTGGTCTGAACGAATTGGCAGGTTATGTATAGTATTTTTTTTTGTATCTCTGTTTTCAAAGATCGCCGAAGCAAAAAAGCTGCATGCTGCTCGAGCAACATGCTAAGTACAGTCTGGGCCATGGGGAGGGAATCACAAGTAAGACAGCCCAAGTGCAGGGACAAAGTAAAAAAAAAACAAGGAAAATTTATTATATACATTGCTCGCATTTGACCTTGGCTGGATTCGGATAGTATTTCAATGGACTACACGG